TCGCCAGGGCAGCTGGGAAGGAGTGAGGCCAACTGGCTCCTAGTAACAGACGAACCAATCAAAAAGTGGGAAAAGTCGGTCTGTCTTGGCTTAACCTCTGCTACCGCTTATGCGGCAGACAGGAAGGGCGTGGAGACTGCGTCACTTGACCTTCTACAATTCCAAGACCTAAGGCCGATTTCACTCTGCGCCTCTTTCGTGAACCAGCCACACATTGGTTTAGTGTAAAACTGATGTCAAGAGTTAATATTTTTTTTTAAATAAAAGAAAAGAACTTCTTTTTCTAGACCGTCGTTTGCATTCAACACATTCTTTATGCCTAAATCAATAGAAATTGTAGACAAGCTGTCTGAAAAAGGGGTCGAAGTCATCCTCCCAGAGCCAATGGACACGCCCTACATGCATCCGGCCGTAGAGTCTTGCACAAACGGACTAAGTGAACGTGGAAAGAGGGCACAGGAAGGCGAAAGACGAAGGACGGAGAGCAGAAGTTGAAGTGAATTATGGTGTAGAAACGGAAATTCACATGTCTCTTGGGCGAACTGTGTAGCCAATTGTTCTGGGTCGAATTCGACTTTATCGCGTCATTCATCTTCACGACAGTCTGCCATGACGACATTTCTCCTCATGGTAACCATATGCCGGCATTGGTCTCGATTTTCCGTGTGTCCACCCTCTCATCCTCTTCGGCACAGCCCCACAATTGTCCCGTTAGACGATCGCCTTTGCCTCGCCACCGATACTCACTTGCTGAAAAGTATTTTCCGTTCAACTATCACGCACGTCTACAAGTCAGACTACTAATATACTACTACTACAAAAATATATTTTAGAATGCATGCCCGAAAATAGTCCAAGCGTAAAACTAAAATCACGCTATGGCCATGGCATTCACGCCTGAGTGGACAGAGGAGTGGCCTCAAAAAAGGTTCAAGACCTTCTGCCGGCCGACTGGTTTTTCCCGCAGAGAAGGGTTTCTATGCAAAAAGATGCGCCCGATGGTGTGTGCAGAGGAACTCGGACTGACGGCATCAGAACACGATCGGTCACTATTTGTCGCAGCCTCCCCCGACTCGACGAAAAGTCGACAAAACTGTCGTCAGGGCACCTATTGACTCCCAACAACCGTCGAACATGGGCAGACAACCGCTCGTGGCCACCTATAAACCACGTGGTACGGATACTTTGCCATTGTGTAAAAATGCCTAATTTAATGTGATTTTTACAGCAAACGCACCAGAAAGAGACTTTGTATTTCCATTTTTGAACTCAATCGTTCACCATGGCGTTGATGATGACCGCTCGCACACTAAATCCTTCTTTGCTTCAGCTGAAAACGAGTTAATATTTCATCCGTCATACTCAATAAATCTTCAGAGCTGGATCTCACTCTTCTAAAAGCCTCAGTCGACGCCAAGTCAAGTCTAACCAGTCCAACCTTGGGCACTGAGAACATATTGATACCAAATTAATGGGTTATTCCTCTTCAATTAAAATTCCATTCGCATAAGCTTGAATTTCCCCACAATCATATGAGTTGGCCTCATGCTTCCTGTGGATTTCACTTTGCTCTGCTTCCCCAAAGGCGTTCTTATCCAGCGGCCGGACTGGAGTCCTGACCTCGCATGGGTCTCATCAGTACCGCCAGTGGGACTCGAACCCTGGCTACGGCACGGCACGTGACCAGAAGTGCCCCTATTGCACGTAGCACACATGAATTACAAAGGAAGGCAAGGTTTTTCCCACTTTACATTTGTATAGTGTGGTTGTAGATTAAGCAAATTTACATTTTCCCCTTGCAATTGACCATACTACTCATATTTGGTTAAAGTAGGCCATCGAGACTATCGGTAAATCTTAAACAGTGGTTCTAGTCGGCCTAGGCTACGTAAGATGAGGAAGGACTGGTAGACGAAATTTCCCACAATGATACAATTAGGTCTCACGTTAAGTTTAGTATTAAAAAACCCATTTTCATAATAATTAAATCACATTCATCTCTGCCTATATGCATACATGTGTATGTGTGTGATTTTATACATTCATGCATATCGATGTATGCATGAATTTATATATCTCTATCTATCTAGCTATCAATCACATCCATATAGGTACACACGTTTGCAGGCATGTATTTGTGTGTATGCGCGCGTGTGTGGCTGTATCTGTAGGCAATCACAATAGAGCATAACTTCAGTCCAGTGTCATCGAGGTTTATTGCCTCAGGGGAGAACGTGGCTGGAGGCAGCATTAAGAAAGAGCACCACTTCTGACAATATCCGTGGCATGATGAACGAGAATTGCGTCCATGCTCACTTGAACCCTGGAAGGAGGTAGCGTGTAGAGTGCAGTATTGGACGCCGAAGTCAGATCACATGACAGCAGTCTTCAGGCTGGGCCGAATTGAGAAGCTTTTCATTACACTTTGACACGAAATGAGATTAGTTGGGAAAATGTTATCTCACGGGATGCATCGAAGCCCAGTTACATTTCGTGTATATAGAAAGCTTTTGCTCGAGTCTCTCCTTGCGCCCAATTTGTGGACGTACAACTGCTGGGCGCCGAACCCAGGTCTGTATGGGCCGTTGCTAAGTGAAAAACTGAGCACCGCGTGCGTTTGGCATAATTAATGAGTCTTTTCTATTTTGCCCATTTTTTACTTTGTCCGTAAAGCAAGTGAATTGTTTTATTTCCTTTGGCTACCTTGCAAAATTTTCATTACGAAGCAGCATATCACAGACTTTCGAGTCATAGACGAAAATTCAGATGACGTGGGTCACGAGAGGGTGAAAAAGGCAGAAAATCATATTTATTGCCATTTTATATGCATCACCTGCCACCTTTTGAGAGAAACATCGCTTTTTCTCCTTCACTTAATCCAGGCTGGCACGTACCTTTCTAGGGGAGGTCCGGCTCTAAAATTGAATTTTGTTGTGTTGTATTGTGTTTTCGCGTCGTTGTCATGACTCGATTTTGTTCACAGCAAAACTGTGCAGAGAACACGTCGTCAGCCGGTCCCTTCATTCAGCGTTCATCCGCTTTCTTGCCACATCATCGGAGGGCAACTTCGAGTGTATGTACGATATGGATGTGGCTCGAGGCAAAATAAAACGGTTGCGAGGATCCGTCGAAACCGTTGCTGTAGCGTGAACGACAAATGAGACCAAATACACAGGCACATACTCGTTCCCTTCACTTCAAGCGTGTTTTATTTTTCATCAATTGCACACACGCACACACACACAAACACAACACAGCCCTCAAATATGGAGTGTGAGGCTAACATAGTTTTGAAGTGTGATTGGA